AAAGGGTTGACTGTGTGGCCATGACCATCCCCAACCATAAGAGGTTTTAGATCAAATTGATCAATGACCATCTAAAAACAATTCCAAACAGAATCGCGTCTTTGGTTGCTTTGAATAAAACCTCTCCTCCATGTCAATGACCAATAACCCAACACAAATATCTGCTTGAAAAATAAAACATTACCCGAACCTGCCAAGATAAGCAACCAGTAGTTAAAGATTCAATGGGAACAAGTTCCGAGGACAATCGAGCAGACACTAGCACAATATTTTCATTTTAAATAAGGCAGCTGTTGATTTTACAGAAGAATTCAAAGTATGGCGGTTTTACTAGCTCTGACTTATGCTCTGAGGATACATTATTACATTCAGGAAAACTATAACATCTATGACAAATATCACACTCAATCAGATAATTTATGCAGGCCTTTGATGCAATAATACAAAAGCTGGAGTGGAAGGTAAATTTCTATCTTCGGTGGTAAATGCACATAATTTATTTTAGATGCATGTCGTGTATATCTGTAATTACCAAACTATGCCCTTTTTTCTATCAACGCGGTCAGTGCTCATGCGAGATTTTTCAGGCATATATGCCGTCTTAGACTTCTCAAGTCGACTATCTAAACTGTTTCTAGACATTTCTGGTAGGTCAGACACCAATTGGAATGTATCTGAAGTTCCCATTTTCAGATGGTTTGCTCTGATTGTCTGAATCTTCTGTTGTCATTTCAGAATCATTTGCAGCTGCTTTTGACTTGCCAAGTGATGATACAAATTTTTTCAAATATGGGAAGAATTCTGGAAAAACCTCTAGATTACAATGTCCTCCTCTACCTATCCATAAGGGCTGATACTTTTGCTTGCAAAGTTCTGAAAGTCGCCGTCCATGGGACCAATCAACAACATCATCCGCTTTCCCCTGAGAATAGAATGGAACTTGCTTTTGTTACTAATTTATATCTAAAAGAATATTTGAAAGAGAAAAGTATATCCCTTCCGGATATCATTATGGAGATACACAAAACCTAAAATCCCACCTACTGAAAGGGGTATAGTGCATAAATAGGCTACACAGTCCACGACTTATTTATATTTCTGATATGATTGTTAAAAAAGATAAATGCAAGAAACTGCTAACATCTATTGACTATCTCTATCTATCATATTAAGTTATTGTTTCTCATAACCTAACCAAATGTATAGAAAAATGCAGATTAAGTGGTCATTCTGAACATGGTAATTGAATGCTTTCTAGTTTACCATCAATATAATGTAGTTGGCTAATTCTATGGATAAGTTGAACTTCATCATATCTAGAACCATAGCAAGCAGCCAGATTTACTCGGTAAAAAAGCCAATATGGGCTCAAATATTCAAGCAAATCTGTAGTTATAACTCAATCTATGACCCTAGAGGAGATTTTTATTTATATAAAATTTCTTCAAATTGTGGAATGAGATCATACAGAAGTGACACTTACATGAATCACTAGAACTTGACAGTTCACCAACCCAATTTTGTCGATATTCTGAGGAATAAAAATAAAACAAAAAGCATCTAAGGTAAGTAATAATCTATCAAGGCATGTAAGAACGCAGAGTGTTGTCACAGGGCAGAATTTACCTTGTATATGTCAAACCAGAATGTTCTTTTGACAGGGTACAACACCCTTATTCCAGACAAAATTGGGCTATGCAAAACAACACCTCTCAAGTTTGGTAACCGTGAAGCAAGTTCAACAGTGGGACCACTGCCAACCGACTGACCATATAATATTAATTGTTCATCCTTAACTCCATACCGCTCCTTCAAACATTGATATGCAGCGTCAATGTCTGCATATGTATCATATTCAGTTGGCTGTTACAAATAGAAGAGGGTCAAAGTTAGATGTATCCAAAATCCAATTTCATAAAACTCTTACCAAGCTATAAAAGATTCAAATCATTAGACATAATAAATGATAAGTCATAAAGAATGCCATCAAGAACCATACAATTCAACAGCTTAAACTAATGGCCTAAAACTCAACTAATATATATGTCTCAACATGTTTTGATTTCATCCCTTGCAAGCTGGATTAAGCAAACGTGCACCGAATTCCTTTTGTTGAAACTAAAACCCAACCAAACAGATAACGGCTGCAAGAACTCTAGATCATTAGATCAAATTAGACGAGACATCATACTAAGAACAGCTCGACAACTTATAACCTCTCAGTCATCTCTATATATTGAAGAGATGGGCATGAACATTCCAATAACATGGCAATGTCTACCAATGAAAAGGAAGAAAAAAAAAATTGAAATTCATAAAAATTAGCATGCAAAATCTGAAAGAACGGGGACAAATTTGATATTTAAATTGATATATGTCAAAGACGAGGATTTGAGAAACCAACCTTTCCAGTTGATTGACCATAACCAGAATAATCATACCTATAAATTCCATGGATGCAAGTTATAATATAATATAATCCAAAAAATAAGCAAGTTCAATAAAAGTTGTGTTTTAAGAAAGGAAGAAAGTTACCCCATAAGATTAATGCGGAGCCGATTTGACAATTCGACAAAGAGCTCGAACATCTGCCCCAAATCCGCCGCATTTCCATGAGAATACAAGAGAGTGGCAGATGCTTTTGGATGCTTGATGTGTACAGAAACGATGTGGTTTCCGCGCTCGGTACGGAGCTTCAAAACGTCAACGTCGTCCCTGCAAGGCACCCCCTGTATGTACAGCCGGCCACCGCCAGATTCGTCAGCTGCTATCGTGTAGGATGGAGGATTAGGCGGGAAGAAGGCGAATTTCGCGGCGATTAATGAGGTGACTCCTCCCATCTTCCGATCATCAGATGCTGCTTTTTCAAATACAAACACCACCGCCGGAAAATTAGGTTGGATCTTCAGATCTTGCCCACAGAGTGGGAAATTAATGAACAGAGACAGCGCGGGATTGACATATAAAAACTACGTAGACCGGAGGAAGTCGAAAGAGAAGAAAAAGGAAGAAAAAGATAAGAAAATGAAAGACGAGGATGGAGAGAGGCTGTTGGTGGGGATGGTTGGTGGGACTGAAGGAGGATGCGCGTTAGATAAGATGGCGGCGCGTATGGAGGGAAAGACGCCACTGCCGCGTCGAAAATGACAGACGAGGAATGTCGTCTCTTCGATAATGTTGAACGTTAAGAGAGACTTCACTGTCGATTGTTTTAATGGAAACGTTTCAGGCGCGTGCTAATAACAGTTCAATTGACACCTGGCGGCGACTTTCAGATGAATAAATACCCCAAGAGCAGTGCTAGGAGCACTCGCCTCCTGCACTTTCCGGCCAACACTCCTCCTTTCATTGGGCCACGTTATTTTAGTTCGGCAAGAGGTTGCGCTTGAGAGCTGAAACAACCTTACGTGGCCCAATGAACGGGGGAGTGTTGGCCGGCGAGTGCCCCTAACACTGCTCATACCCCAAATGCCGCGTATGCTGTATAGCCAAACATTAAATGAGATATTGAATAAAAAATTGTCTCATATATATATATATATATATATTCCCCTATAAAAAAAAAATATATATATATATATATATTCCCCTATATATATGAATTTTTTTTTTCTGAGTTTTGAGAACAAAATAGTAACCCTAAATGAGAGAGG